GAGCCTTGCTTTTGATAGCTGAGGCAAGTGGAAAAATGCTTACACCTTCTCCAGGTTGTCTTTCAGGGTTCATCCTGCTTTTATTTATTGATTTGACACTTTTTTTTTACCTTTTTTTTTTTTTTTGAGAGAGAGGAAGGGGGAGAGAGATAGAGATAGATAGATGGAGAGAGAGAGAGAGAGAGAGAGAGAGAGAGGTGAGAAACATAGATTGATTGCCTCCCATATCCACCAGGGATTGAACCCGCAATCTGGGTGTGTGCCCTGACTGGGAATCAAACCCACCACCTTTTGGTGTAGGGGATGATGCTCCAACCACTGAGCATCCACACCAGCCAGGGCAACACTTTTTTTTTTAAAGCATGTAATATGTAGCAGGTATCGATCCCCTAAAATTCCCAGCTCCTGGTTACACTCCCATACAGAAACCCCTCATCCTGCCTTTGCCAGAGGAAAGAGAAGAGGAGGGAGGGGTAGGCGGCAGTCTCCTTTACCATAGAGTTTGGGTCTTACCATATGGCAGCCCTTCCCTTTCAGTTAAAGGCTGGTGTGGAGGCCAAGAGTATAGAGTGGCACTTACAGTGCGGAGAGAGAAGGCCTTCTTCGGGGTATGAGGAAACCGCTTGGAGGATGGTTCAAATTCTGCCTTTTACTGTTCTGGTTGGTCTCTCTCTGGACCTCTGGGAAGGTCAGTGGGAAGACAGAGGCAGAGAAGTGTGGGGGATCCAGGAGCTGTCCTGAGGTGGGCCCACCATGTAGGTCCCTCCCTTGTCCTCCCCTCCCCAAGACAGATAGAAAGCAGGCAGTTTGATGCGGGTCTGGTGAGGACAGGAAACTGGTTTGGAGCCAGCTGTGTGTGAGTATGTGGGAACGGCTCCCTCTCTTTCCCCATCCACCAGCTGCCACTGAACTCTCCATAGTGGGGGGACCCGAGCAAGCTTCCAGAAGGAGATATTCCATTAGGGGAGGGGAATGACTCAGTTTCCCTCTGTGCCTTATATCCTTACCGAGTATTTCAGTGTTCCTGGGCCTAGACTCTTACCCATGTTCCTTATACTTCTTTCTAACCTAGATCAGGAATGTCCCTGTCCCACTGGGTACCCAAAACCCTGTTCCTCACAACCACTTACCTCACTCCAAGCCCCCACTCTGGCCTAGCTCCTCTTCTGCCACTGCTCCAGTGTTACCATGCCGCTCTGCCTGGCTGGCTTCCACCTGCCCCTCTTCTCTCCAGCCAGACCCCTTCCCTGGCCAGCCCAGCCAACATGATGAAGAGGTTGGGGCTTAGGGCTAAGAGAGCAGAGGTGGGAGCTCAGGCCCTATCAGTGCGGAGGGAGAAGAAACAGACAGCAGAAGAAAGTGGAGCAAGAAGGGGTTTTGAGAGGGGCTGTGTGAGGGGAGGGTTTCCTTGTACACTCAAAGGGGATGTCAGCATCTCTTCTCTCACATGGTGGAGGGTTATCACGGAGTCCTGTCCTTATGGTCGGGAAGCCAGACAGCTTGTGGGTCCTCGGAAGCTACTGTGGTGTGGGGAGAAGAAGTGACGTTTGGGAAGGCTATTTCTGATATTCACAGACTAGGAGTCAGGACAAAGTAGAGAAGCTGAAGATAGCCCTGGCCCAGAACTAAAGGAGTCCTTATGTTCCTGTGGGAGTCCAATCCTTGGAGAAACCCTGCCACGCCTAGAGAAAGGGCTGCTGGTGAAAGGTGGTGGTGGGGGGGGGGGG